GGTCTGTAGGCATACAGACAGAACATTGTATACTAAATAAATAAATATTTAAAAAAAAAAGAAGAAAAAAAAAGAAAATTAAGAGCTGGGCAGTGGGGCTGGAGAGATGGCTCAGAGGTTAAGAGCACTGGCTGCTCTTCCAGAGGTCCTAAGTTCAGTTCCCAGCAACCACATGGTGGCTCACAACCATCTATGATGAGATCTGGTGCCCTTATCTGGTGCGTGTGCAGGCATGCAGGCTTAAAAAAAAAAAAGCTGGGCAGTGGTAGTGTACACCTTTAATCTCAGCACTAGGGAAACAGAGGCAGGTGGATCTCTGTGAGTTCAAAGCCAGCCTGGTCTACAGAGTGATTCCCAGGACAGCCAGGATTGTGACACAGAAAAAACCTGTCTCAAAAAAAAAAAAGCAAAAAAAGGGGGGGGGGATTTAAGAATGGGCTCAAATGGGAGCCCAGGGCAGTTTGTGGGGAGAAGAACCCAGTGACAGTCAGCTGTGGCTCAGAGGAGGAGGCTGGAGGAGAGAGGAGGGAGCCTCAGAGGAAGTAAGGAAGATGCAAATATTGAGGGGAAACTCCAAGGTTCAGAAAAGCGTGTTGAGAAAAGACATAGAAGAAAGGTTACGGGCTGGAGAGATGGCTCAGAGGTTAAGAGCACTGACTGTTCTTCCAGAGATCCTGAGTTCAGTTCCCAGCAACCACATGGTGGCTCATGGCCATCTGTAATGAGATCTGGTGTCCTCTTCTGGCCAGCAAGTATACAGACAGAACACTGTATACATAATAAATAAATATTTTTTTTAAAAAAAAAAAGAAGAAAGGTTACATTTTTTGGAATAATCTAGAAAAATGGTGTCTTGATCACTGTTCTCTGGCTATGAAGAGACACCACGACCACGGCATCTCTCATGAAAGAAATCATTTTACTGGGGCTGGCTTCCAGCTTCAGAGCTTTAGTCTCTTCTCATCATGGTGGGGAGGGTGGCAGTGTACAGGTAGGCATGGTACTGGAGAAGTGGTCTCATCCTTAGGCAGAAGACAGAGACAGCAACACTGGGCCTGGCAGGGCCTTCTGAAACCTCAAAGCCCACCCCCAGAGACACACCTCCTCCTTCCCAAGAGCCCACTGGGAACAAAACAGGCAAATACATGAGCCTATGGGAACCAATATCACTCAAAGGGCCACAGCCGGCAGACTTGGGACCCTACGTGACTGCCTACATGAGCCCTAGCGGAAGGGATCCTGGGAAGGAAAAGTACTACCTGTCCCACGCACCTCTCTAGTGAGCCCACCTTCCTAGGTGTGGTCCCTCAGCCAAAGTGACTGAACCAAAGCAGCTGAAGTATTAGGTCTCCACCGAGGCCAGACTCTAATCCTGAGTCCTGAGACCAGGGAGGGAGGAGGAATTGGCTTGACCTTAAATAAAGAACACAACTGATACCACCCAGGGCAGACAGTCCACCCTGCCCCAGTTTTCAGTGGGTGTCAGGGATGGTGTGCCTGTCACCCACCTCTGTCTCACACCATCTGGACTTACCAGCCTCCTCTGTGTCCTTCCATCACCCCTATTGATTTCAGCCACAAACCCTTGCACTCACTGTCCCTCTGCCAGGTACACTTCTCAGCCCATTGCATCAGTGGGACTCTGCTCGAAGATCACCATGTCAAAGTCCTCTCTCCCTTTAAAATCTAGGGCCTCCGTGGTAGAGCCCCTGCCTAGAATCCCCCAGTGAAGGGCTGGGGTGTGGCTCAGTGGTAGAGCCCTACCTAGAATCCCCCAGTGAGGGGCTGGTGCATGGCTTACTACCTATGTAGCCTTTGTGAGGTCCTGGGTTTATACCCAGCCCTTTAAAGAAAATATAGGCCACACACACACACGGCATTCTTCCTCTCTGACACTGGATGTCTTGTGTGTTTTCTGCTGCTGATAACTCACTGGCAGAGACTTTCTAAGTTAGACCACAGATTTATTTTGGCATGGAGGTTCTGGTCCAAGGTCAAAGAGCAGGTGCCCATCTGGTGATGGACTCTCTGCTGGCTGGATTCCCTGGTGGCTGGGGCATGAACATGTGAGAGACAGCAAGAGGGCTTGGCAGGTAAAACTCCTCTGCCGGCCAGCCTGAGCACCTACACTCGAACCCTGAACCCCATGTGGTCCCCCAAGACATCCAGAGTCTCATACTCCTGCCATGGCACACTCACAACACAGTCAATGTTGAAAACAAAAACAAAAAACCTGGGTGATATGGCACACGTCTTTAATCCCAGCGCTCAGGAGGCAGAGGCAGGAGGATCTCTGTGAGTTTGAGGCCAGCCTGATCTACAGAGCAAGTTCCAGGACAGCCAGAGCTACACAGAGAAAACCCTATCTCAAAAAACAAAAAACAAAACAAAAAGACCACACATCAGAGACCAATTGATTCAAATACCTCACCTGCTATAAAATAACCCATTAATTCACACACTAATCCATGAAGATCATAAAAAGATTGTCCCACAGGGCCCTGATCCCTCCATCTTCTTCTCGTCCTTCCCAAAGATAAAGATTCTCACTGAGCAGGCTAGTTTTAAATGCTCCCCCCTCCCACTCAGACAGTTCAGTGCTGGGATGGGACCCAGGGCTCCATGCTACGCAAGGACTTCCCCACTGAGCCCAGTCCCAGCCTGAAGTTTCCATGTTCACCAAATTTACCTGAGGCCTGAACAGGTTCCTCCATCTCTGCCTGGAGATGCATTCTGAGAAAAGTTCGATGGAACAGAGTTGGCAAAATCCAAACCACAGATCTGTGTGCTACCAAGGTCATTTGGTGTGTGTCTAGTTCCCAAATCTAGTGTATTCTCTGAGGAACACAAATTAGATCCCTCCTTGGTTACTCCTCACCTCGTAAGCGTCATGGTCATAACATCATACTTGCTAATTTTCTCCTTTTTTTTTCCCTTTCTTTTATTTTTTGTTCTTATTTTTGTTTTTGTTTGTTTTTCGAGACAGGGTTTCTCTGTAGCCCTGGATGTTCTGGAACTCACTCTGTAGACCAGGTTGGCCTCAAATTCACAGAGATTCCTCTGCCTCTGCCTCTGCCTCCAGAGTGCCGGAATTAAAGACATGCTCAGCTAACCACTGCTCGGCTGATACTTGCTAATTCAAAAACCACTTGGATTTGTCTCATTGAGTTGTGCTAGCTCCAAACCGAGGAATGTCACGCAGAAGTCAGCTGACAGACATGTGCAGTGTGTGACTGGTGTGGCAATTCGTGCCTTGAGATCCCAGCACTGTGGAGGTGAGGCAGTAGGATGGGTGTTCAAGACTATCCTCTGCTACAGAGGGATGTCAAGGCCATCCCGGCTTACATGACACCCTGTCTCAAAGAAAAATAAAGACATAAAAATAAAATTTAAAAGATCATAAACTCAGCTGGGCAGTGGTGGCTTTAGTCCCAGCACTCGGGAGGCAGAGGCAGGTGGATCTCTGTGAGTTCGGGGTCAACCTGGTCTACAGAGTGAGTTTCAGGATGTCCAGGGCTACATAGAGAAACTCTGTCATGCAAAAAAAAATAAAATATTAAAAATAAAAGATCATGAGCTCCAAAAAGCAGAAAGAGTGATTGTTTTGAGACAAGCCCTCACCGTACAGCCTAGGGATCTCCAAATAAACAACACCCCTTATCCAAGGCACGGAGCTGTGACAGCCACCTGTGAGCCAATTATACTAATGTGTTGTGACTGCCTTGTTTATCACTTTTGTTTTTTTCTAGACAGGGTTTCTCTGTGTAGCCCCGGCTGTACTGGAACTCTCTCTATAAACCAAGGTGGCCTCAAACTCTGCCCCCTGAGTGCTGGGAGTAAAGGTGTGCACCACCGTCTGACTCTGATTTTTGTTTCTGACTGGCACATGACTCATATTTCTTGGGCTACAGCATAACGTTTTACCACCGTGAGTATAGACTAAGGATAGAAATGGAGTTCTAGCTTCACAACAAACAGATGTTTCTTCCTGTGAGTCTGTAGCCTCTTAGCTATTTTGAAACAGTAGTCAGCACGCTGGAATTTACTATGGCATGCTAAGGGCAACACTGTAACCCATCACCACTGCCCCCCTAGCTACAGTGTCTAGATCATTTCTTCAGCCTCCACTGACTGAACTCCAAGAGCTGATATACTTTGACATAATGTCCACCAGTCTTGTCCCTATTACAGCAAATAATAAGGCTTCCTCTTTTTTATGGGTGAGTAATATTCCATGGTGTGCACAAACCACATTTTCTTTACCCTTTACCTATTAATGGACATGTAGGTGGATTCCATATCATGGCTCTTGTGTTGTGAACAATGCCACAACACACACAGAAACAAGCATCGGGCTTGGGGGGGGGTGAGATCCAACCCCTGTACTAAAAAAGGCACAGAAGAGGGTTGCCGGAAGGAAGGGGTTTGAACCTGGGAAAAACCCAGGCTTCTCAAATCTGGGGCCCATTCTCTGCTCCAGAAGTCCATAAAGCTTGACAAAAAAGTTTGTTTTGTCCTGGGATATTTCCTTTTTTTGAAACAGGGTCCACGTGGGCCAGGACAGTCTTGAACTCCTGATCTTCCTCCCCCACCTTCCAAATGCTAGGGTGACAGGTGTGTGTCACCATGCCGGGCTTGCATGCCCATTGTACAGAGGAGGAAACTGAGGCTTGGGGGGAACCTAGGGAGAGACGCTGCAGGGGTCAGAGCTTCTGAGGAGAGCATAAGCGCCGCCGAGGTCCTAAGAAGCTTTGGATTCCGAGTGGGAGGAGCATCTTGGGAGCACCAAGACCCGCGTCCACGCAGTGCGGCCCCGCCCCCACGGGGGACGTGAAGACGCGGACCCCGCGCAGCGTGGGGACATGTGACCGACTGCAGAGGCCGCGCGCTGCATCCCCGGCCCGGTCGCGCTGCTGCGCAGGACGCGGGGAGGCGCGCGCCGAGGCCTGGGAGCACCGCCCGGGAGCACCGCGGGGCGCGCGAGCAGACGCACAGCCGGACGGCCGGGGCGGGGTCCCCGCGGGGTCCCCAGCTTCGCGCAGAAACGAAACCGAAAGAGGGGACCGAAGGAGGCGGAGCCGCGCCGGCGCCACCCAGCCCTGTGGGGCCCGGACCCGGGCGCGGCCAGGTGTGCAGCGGCCACCATGGCTCAGGACGGCGTGGAGGTAGGACAGCCGCGCCACCGGCGACAGGCCGCGCGGGGAGGGCTCCGGGGACACCCCGACCTCCCGGGCTGCCTCCCTCCTTCATCCCGGGCACAGCGGGGCTGCAGGGTCAGAGGTCAGAAGGAAAAGGGGTAACCTGGCCTGCATCCCGCCGGACCCCAGATTCGTACCCGGGAGTCTGGGACGCGCTGCAGTCCCCACCATCCCCCTACCCCCAATGCCTGGAGAACTTTGGATTTTTCCAGGAAATGGATTAAAGGGGGGGGGATGGGGATGCGGAGGCCAGAAGCCTGGGTCAAGTTGAGGAGAATGAAGGGACGGGCGCTGCTCCCCCGTCGCTCCGCACACCAGAGTTCACCCCCATCCGCCCCAGTTGGAGAAGAGCGTCAGGCGCCTCCGGGAGAAGTTTCATGGAAAAGTGTCCCCCAAGAAGGCAGGGGCTCTTATGAGGAAGTTTGGCAGCGACCACACCGGAGTAGGGCGCTCTATCGTGTACGGTGAGTCAACCCAAGGGAGAATACTGAGTGGGTGTGGTTTAAGAATCGCTGTAGCGACCCTGGCCCCCTAGACAGGAGGCTCTCCACCGCCTGGAACTCCTATACACCCTTCAAGAGACCCTCCCATATTTTCCCACTAGGTGTCAAGCAGAAAGACGGACAAGAGCTGAGCAACGATTTGGACGCTCAGGTAACCTGTCCTCCCTCTCTCCCCCACAGGAAGGGGAGAATCCCTTTTCTCTGCAGCAGAAGGAACAAAACCACAGCTGTGAGAACCCACCTCGCTATGTAGGCTCCTTCCTTTTCCCAAGCAGTAGGTGCTCATTCTGTGCGGGTTATCTCAAATGGAGGAGACTGGACAGTCAGAAAAGGAGATCCTGGCTGCTGAGGAAGGCTCAAGGGAACTCTGCCTTGCTCTAGAAGAAAGGCTGGGCCGGGCTGGGGAGGAAAGAGGCCCTGATGGAGAAGGGATGAACGGACAACTGAATCCACGCAGTCGCTTCCGTGGCTGGTATTCCGTGTATGAACTTGCTCGAAAGACATACTAGAGTTTTGTTTTGTTTGAGACAGGGTCTCACGATGAAGCCCAGGACACTGTCCTGAAACTCACTTTATAGGTTAGACTGGCTTTTCACTCACTGAGATCCACCTGCCTCTGCCTTCCAAGCTGGTAATCAAAGACCTGCACCACCATGCTGGGCACCTAAAAGTGTCTGACAGATCACATTCTTTAAGCTTCGGTCTATAAGCAATATGACATATTAATAATACTAGAAGGAAGTCACCTTCACGGAGAGTGCCCGAGGGACGGACCTCCAGGTTTTGGTTCATCCTCCTACCTCTCTGTCTTTCAGGGTCCCTGGAGGCAATCCTATTACACAGGGACAGCTCAGGGTCATGACTTTCACCAGGGTCTGGGGACCAGCATTTGGCTTCAGGGATTCAAACTCTATCCATGTGTAATGAAGTTTGGGCCCCAAGAGGCCCCTCTGTGAGGATCCACGAAGAGACCCATCTGGGAGCAAAAGAGCAGCCATTCAGACCTGCAGCCACGTGTCTGCAAGCCCCCAAACCCAGAACCTTCTAAAGCCTTGTGGCCAAGGAGCTGAGAGGTGGCTCAGCTGTTAAGAGCACTTGCTCTCTCACACAGGGGACTCTAGTTCCATTCCCAGCACTCACATGGACGGCTCACAACTTCTTCAGGTCCAGGGGACCTGACACCCTCTTCTGACCTCCATGGGGCACTGCACATGTGTCTATGTACACAGGGAGACACACATACATATTTAAAAACTTGAATCTTTAAAGCCAGGTGGCATCAGAGGTCAGGTGTCACGTGTGGCCTCTGCAGATCGAGGAGTCATACAGGGCTCTGAGTTGCATGGGCCACGATCACTGATTTCAGATTCTGGGCCATCTCAGAAATGAGACCAGCAAAAGTATTCACTTTTTTTTAAAAGATTTATTTATTATATATACAGTATTCTGCCTGCATGTGTGCCTGCAGGCCAAAAGAGGGCACCAGATCTTATTAAAATGGTTTTAATCCACCGTGTGGTTGCTGAGAATTGAACTCAGGACCTCTGGAAGAGCAGCCAGTGTGCTCTTAACCACTGAGCCATCTCTCCAGCCCCAAGTATTTACTTCTTAAGGATATTTGGGACATTGTTTGTGCTTTTGTCTAGGCTTCCTCTTGGGCCTTCATGCATTGTAGGCAATACTGAGCTATGCCCCAGCCTTCGATTACCTGTGGTTCTCCTTCCTTACCTTCCCAAGAACTTGAATGACTGGATTGTGCCACCAGACCCAGCTCCAGTGGCACAGAAAAGCTCTCAACACAGGCAATAATGTTTCATGTTGGCTGCATCTATATAGAGCCAGGATCCTGTCTCCGGTCCAGGAGCCCCATGCAGGCTCCTCCCCCATTAAACATGGGGATAGCACCCTGAGAGCCTTTCCAGTTTCTGCAGTCCCCTTCCGTGTCTCCCCTCAGGACCCGCCCGAGGACATGAAGCAAGACCGAGATATCCAGGTGCGTCGGTGGCTGGGCTGAGGCAGGGTGTGGACAGGGAGATGCTAGCTACCCATGGTGCAGCAGGGTGTTCACAGTGAGCTCCAGAGGCACAGGTGACCCTGTTTGTCCCCACTCATCCTTGTTGCAGGCAGTGGCCACCTCTCTGTTGCCCCTGACAGAAGCCAATCTTCGAATGTTCCAAAGAGCCCAAGACGACCTCATCCCTGCCGTGGACCGACAGTTTGCCTGCTCCTCCTGCGACCACGTGTGGTGGCGCCGTGTGCCCCAGAGGAAGGAGGTGCTGCCCAGACTTACCTTGATTCCCTCCTGATCTGTCCAGAAATGTGTGTGTGTGTGTGTGTGTGTGTGCCTGTCGAGACCAGAGTTTGGTGGTGGTGTCTTTCTCTGCTGCTCCACCCTATTTTTTGAGACAGGGTCTCTCAGTGAGCCCTGCGGCTCACCAGTCTGTTAAGGGGTTTGCTGCACGGCCCAGGAAGCCTCCTGTCTCAGCCTCCCCAGCACTAGGGTTGTGTGCATGCAGTTAGCCGTGCTGCCTCTTACATGGGTGCTGTGGGTTTGAACTCACGGGTAAAGCTCCACCTACTGAGCCAAATCTCCACCTTTTGCCTTCATTTTTAGTATTTTAGGTTTATTTTATGCATACTAGTATTTTGTTCACATATGTGTCCATGCACCACAGTGACACATGGGTGCTGGGAACTGAACCCGAGTCCTCTGCAGAAATAACAAATGCTCCTGACCGTTGAAGCACCTCCCAGCCCCCTTTTCTGCTCGTTGAGAGGGTCTCATGTAGCCCAGGCTGGTCTCAGACTCAGTGTGTAGCTAAGGATGACCTTGAATTCCTCACCCTCCTGCCTCCATACCTGGTTCACGCGGGGCTGGGGGCAGAACCAGGGGCATCACGCATGCTAGACAAGCCCAACTTCAATATCCCACTGAACTCATTCGAGTCATTGACTTGAGAAGTCAAACGTTTGACTTTGACAGCTGGGGCAGAAATCAACCCCAAATCTGGTTTCCTAACCTCTTTTCTTTTTTTCTGTAGACAGGGTCTCTCCATGTAGTTCTGGCTGGCCTGGAACTCTCACGACCCACCTGCCTCTGCCCAAGTGCTAGGATTAAAGGTGTGCACCACCACCATGCCCAGCTTGGCTTCCTAATATCTTGATTATTAGTATGCTTCTGATAAGGGCTGAGCTGCGGCTCCAGTAGTCTGAGCACTAGCAGCGCACTCCTGAAGCCCACGTACCAGACACAGGGATGCAGCCTGGCATTCCAGCTCTTGAGCGATGGAGACAGGAGGGTCAGGAGTTCAAAGCTAGCCTGGGCCACGTGAGACCCTGTCTCAGCCCTGCACGTTGGCCCTTCCCTGCCTTCTCAGGTGTCAAGGTGTCGCAAGTGTCGGAAACGTTATGACCCAGTGCCAGCCGATAAGATGTGGGGCCTGGCCGAGTTCCACTGCCCAAAGTGTCGACACAACTTCCGGTGAGGACCCTGTCCCACCCCAGCCCACCCTCGGCCCAGTCCCAGCCTCGTCCCTTCCTCCTGTCCCCTGGGGGAGGGCCCAGCTGGCCCCTCAGCCCCTCACGGCCCTGCTGGCCCCCAGGGGCTGGGCACAGATGGGGTCCCCATCACCCTGCTACGGGTGCGGCTTCCCTGTGTATCCCACTCGGATCCTGCCCCCACGCTGGGACCGTGACCTGGATCGGCGCAGCACACACACCCACTCCTGCTCAGCCGCAGATTGCTACAATCGGAGAGGTGAGGCCCTGGTGCTCGGCCTACATTCTGCGTCCCCTGTGCGCCAACCCCTGGCTGCTCCCTCCTTCCCTGGGTCCCCCATGGCTCCCTAGAGCTGACTGCTCCCCGACTCCACCCGTGGAGTTCCCAGCGGCTCCATAGTGCCCAGCCTATGAGTCCCATGGTCCCCACGACCTGTGAGTCTGTCTTTGTGGCCACATTCCCACCTCCCTAAAGAGTTTGAACACCTGTAAATTTTATGACGTCTGATCCCTGTGTCATACGGCCCCAGTGGGTCCCTGCAGAGCCACAGACCCCTCCCACCTCCAGAATCTCAGCAACTCTCCTTCCTCTAGAGCCCCATGTGCCTGGGACTTCCTGTGCCCACCCCAAAAGCCGTAAGCAGAACCACCTCCCCAGAGTGCTGCACCCCAGCAACCCCCACATCAGCAGCGGCTCCACGGTGGCCACGTGCCTGAGCCAAGGCGGCCTCCTGGATGACCTGGACCATCTCATCCTGGAAGACCTGAAGGAGGAGGAGGAGGACGAGGAGGATGGTGGGCCCCGAGAGTGACCCTGACCGGACGCACACAGGAACGACAGACACGGTGTGTGGACACCTTGTGTTGCTATAAGATACTGTCTCAAGGAGATAGAAATACCCTTGGGGGTACTAAAGGGACAGTCACAACCGCACAAGCCGGGTCAGCATAACAGCCTTCTTCAGAGAGTACGCCCCACCGCGGAACTCGGCCCAGTAGACCCCGTCCTGGTAGCGGCTCCGATAGTGACCTCCATGGTACCACACACCATTAAGGTTGGAGTGGGCACAGGCGTGGTACCACCAGCCCCCACGATGGTACAGGGCACAGTTACCTGAGGGTAGAGACAGAGTTTGTGTTCCCACCAAAATAAAAGTCTCTACCAGCACTTCTTTGTGCAAAGCTTTTGCAAGCATCCCTCAACCTTCCCTATCTTATTGAATAGAAGCCCTAATCCTCTATCTCCTCACCAAAATAAAAGGCTCTGGATTCTCACTTTCTTCTTCAGAGTAACAGCCTTAATTCCCTATCTCCTTACCAAAATAAGAGGCATGCTTTTCCCATATATTTTGCAAAGTAATCTGTTATTCATTCCTTTTGTGGGGGGGCTTCTGTTTCCAGATGGTTTATCCCAGGTGGACTGGCACACACCTGTAATCTCAACATGTGGGAGCCGAAGGAAGAGGGTCTAGAGTTTCAGACCAGCCTAGGCTCCACAGTGAGATCGTATCTCAAATGTGGACTAGGATATAGCTCAGTGGTAGTGTGCTTAGATTGCGGGGCGGGGGGAAGAGGGAGCAGCTCTGTCCCACTCCCCCCCCCAAAGAAGCTTAGCTTTCACTCAGCCCTTCTCACAGTGCAAGGTCCCTAGGTCTTAGTTAGCAGAGAAGGAATCGGGGCTCCCTGTGCCCCTGGTCTCCTTATGCTGAAGAACTTACCTTAGGGCACCCTGTAGCCCAGGCTGGCCTTGAACTCCCGCCCCTCTGGCCTCCATCTGCTAGAGCTGGGACTCCAGGCCTGTGCCACCACACCCAGCTCACCAGAAGGAAACCTGACACTTAGGTTTAGTGTAGGTACCCACAGAGGCTCGAAGTATGGATCCCCTGGGACTAGAGCTACCCAGTGTGGGTGCTGAGAACCGAAACCTGGAGGAATAGTTTGTGCTTCCAACTGCTGAGCCGTCTGCACCTCTCAGAAGGGAAAATTTGACTTTACCGCTTTTCACCCTAACCAGATTAGCGATCCCATCTTCCTGCCCTCCCACCAGAATAAAAATGCTCCCTACCAGAATAGGAGTCTCGGTCCCTGTCCACAGTGCTGAAAGGTTTGTCGTTGTGCCAGGAGAGGGAATCTCCGGCATCGCCGTGGTACTGGCCAAGCCGCAGACGGTAGTGGTCACTCTCAGGCTCCAAGGAGAAGCTGTCATAGTGGGCGCGTGCCCCACGGCCCCCCCAGTCCTCTAGGAGTACCAGCAGCTCATGGTCCCCACGGCTGGTCACCTGATGCACGGGTTCCAAGCCCAGCCAGTATTCCCCGTCTGGCCGCCCAAAGCCTGCCTGGAAGGGCGGGAGGAACAGGAGGTCAGGATGGGGTATCCTCAGCCAGCCTCCGGCACCCCCGCCACAAGCACCCACCTTGTAGTGCTGCCAGTTGGTGAAGAAATTGACTGAGCCATCTTGCCGCCGCTGGATAACAGTCCAGCCTCCACCTTCCCGCTGCTGCTCACACCACACAGACACCAGGCGACGGCCCAGCCGCAGCTCATACACTCCGCTCTGCCTGTGACCTGCCCTGTGAGCCTCTGCGCAGTCCCTCCATGGACCTGTGACAAGGTACAGCCTGAGCTACCCAGGCCCTTGCTGGATCAGGGCCCTGACTCACCAGTTCCCTTTCCCAGATAAAAGCCATCTTCTGTCTCCCTCTGAGGAAGAGCCATTTCTTACCGTTTCTTCTCTCAAAAGTCATGGTCCTATGAGCCAACTCCTCACCAAAGCAGAGTCCTAACCCGCATGCCCTCATAGAATACGTACCCATGCCTATTTTCTCTTCTTCCAATTTCTCACTATATTAGGAGGACTGGTTGGGGCTGGAGAGGTGGCTCAGTGGTTAAGAGCACTGGCTGCTCTTCCAGAGAACCCAGGTTCAATTCCCAGAACCCACGTGGCAGCTCACAACTGTCTGTGACTCCGAGATCTGACACCTTGACCCAGACATGCGTGCAGACAAAACACCAATAAACATAAAAAATAAATTGATTTTAAAAAAAAAGAGGACTGGTCTTGTTTTGTTTTCGTACTGCCAGGAGGCCATGGAAGACCTTGGTGCTCTGCCGGTGAGCCTCATCTCCCGGCTGTTGTTGTCACAGACTAGTTTCCTGTCCCCTCATCTCCCCTGGTCCCCACTACTCTAGAATTTCCATCTACCCAGATGGCACCGGAAGCCCTGGGTCATCATCTCACACACATCCCAGCAGGCCTGCCTCGACTTACCCACTGGCCTGGTGGAAACAGCAAGGTGCCCAGTAGGTGGGGGAGGAGACAGGAGCTCCTGCTGCCTCAAGTTCTGATCTCTCCAGTTCTCTGGGGTTCCGTCCAGCCTCCTGCTGGTGTTGCCAGCACTGCCCACTAGATTCAGAGGAACCAAAGGCAATGGCAGGACCTGGGACCATACAGTCAGACATAATTAACCCCTCAGCTGAGGAGGCCAGGCATCCCCTGGCATGGGGAGTCGGGGGACAGGCAGGGTCAGAAGAACAAATCTCCCACCCAGATAAACAAAATCAGGCAGGGCAGTGCCTCAGATTTATCACCGCCTACCAAAAGCCTAACTCTGGACTTCTGCTGGTGAGGCATATGCGCAAAACATGGAGGGCAGAGAAGGGCACTGGTCTCCTGTTCCATCATTCCCCCTGTTCCCTAGAGATGGGGTCTCTCACTGCACTTGAGTTGGCCTGGCATCCATCAAGCCCCAGTAAACCTTCATCTGCCCACAGCCCTGGGGCACACACACAGGCAGGCCCACCACAGCCCTGGAGCACACACACACATACACAGGCAGGCCCACCACAGCCCTGGAGCACACACACACATACACAGGCAGGCCCACCACAGCCCTGGAGCACACACACACATACACAGGCAGGCCCACCACAGCCCTGGAGCACACACACACATACACAGGCAGGCCCACCACAGCCCTGGGGCACACACACACACACATGCAGGCCCACCACAGCCCTGGAGCACACACACACATACACAGGCAGGCCCACCACAGCCCTGGAGCACACACACACATACACAGGCAGGCCCACCACAGCCCTGGAGCACACACACACATACACAGGCAGGCCCACCACAGCCCTGGGGCACACACACACACACATGCAGGCCCACCACAGTCCTGGGGCACACACATGCATGATGGAGGTGGGTCTTGTATCTTATCTGTTGCTTTTTTTTTTTTTTTTTTTTTGGTTTTTTTCGAGACAGGGTTTCTCTGTGGCTTTGGAGCCTGTCCTGGAACTAGCTCTGTAGACCAGGGTGGTCTCGAACTCACAGAGATCCGCCTGCCTCTGCCTCCCGAGTGCTGGGATTAAAGGCGTGCGCCACCATCGCCCAGCTTATCTGTTGCTTTCATTGGTTAACTAATAAAGAAAACTGCCTGGCCCAAATAGGACAGAAAATTAGGTAGGCGGAGTAGAAAGAAGCCGAGTCAGTGAGTCGCCATGATTCTCCCACTCCAGAAAGATGCAAGTTAAGATCTTTCCTGGTAAGCCAGCTTGTGGTGCTACACAGAATATTAGAAATGGGTTAGATCAATATGTAAGAGCTAGCCAATAAGAGGTTAAAACTAATGGGCCAAGCAGTGTTTAAAAGAATACAGTTTCTGTGTAATTATTTCTGTAAAGCTAGTAGTGCGGGCAGCCGGGTGCCAGGAACGTAGCCTGCTGCTCCTATTACAACAGAGTGGCACTCAACGTGATGGACTAAATCCACTTATAAACCTGAGAAGGCTTAAAAATAAGGAAAAGAGCCGGGCGGTGGTGGCGCACGCTTTTAATCCCAGCACTCGGGAGGCAGAGGCAGGCGGATCTCTGTGAGTTCGAGGCCAGCCTGGTCTACAAGAGCTAGTTCCAGGACAGGAACCAAAAGCTACGGAGAAACCCTGTCTCGAAAAATAAAAATAAAAAAAAATAAAATAAAAATAAGGAAAAGAGAGTTTAATGCAGCTTTTTGCTGTTTGTGGGTGGCGTGCAGCAGAGAGAAATTGCCCTGACTCAGCAGCAGGAAAAAACTGGCTGTTTTAAAATGCCGGCTTTCTGGGCTGTGCCACCATCGCGATCTCTGTCTGGCTCCTGCGGGAGACAGAGCTTTTGAATGGAGCATTTGGAGTAAAGTGTTACGATTTGTTTGATGGCAACTAGACTCGCTGTGTGCCCAAAAGAAGTCATTGCATGCTGCAGCTCAGAGGCACAAGCAGCTCCACCACGCTACTGGTGCAATGTGCAAGGATCAGAGGCACAAGCGGCTCCGCCATGTTGGACCGGGCGGGACAAGCAGGCAGTACCTGTTTTTGACCTAGGAATGTCACAGCTTAGATTCTTAAGAGCTCGTAGCGATTTAAAGGTGCAAATCAAAAGTACTCCTGGATAGTAAAAAATTACACATTCGCAATATTACAGATTCAGACCACTAAATGGATCACAATGTTGGATGATTGTATGTAGGCTTGAGAAAAAAAATAAAGAGAATAAAGTTAATGCCCTAAAAAAAAAGGGTAAAGTTTTTAAAGAGACAGAGTACAGATAGTTAAGAGATTAAAAGAAATAAAGAAAAATAAGCCACGTAACAATGGAAAATTCACAGAGAGTCTGGATTATGTACATTGTGTTTTCTTTAAATTTTTTGACTGTAAAGGAGCTAAGTACAGAGAGACATTTCATTATATGGGCTGCCAAGAATGGATATCATAAGGGTATTATGATTTCAGAATTTGGGTCTAAGGATATGATGCTTTGGAAAGGAGTTTCTTCTTTTGTTTTCACAGAGGATGAGACCCTGTGGATTTCTTCTATCCCAATATGGAATGATTGACCGCGCCCTCCTGAAAGGTTGTTGTGCTCAGCAGAGGAACTTCAAATGGCCAAAAGACACTTAAGGTCATGCTCAACTTCCTTAGCGATCAGGGAAATGCAAATCAAGACAACTTTAAGATACCATCTTACACCTGTCAGAATGGCTAAAATAAAAAACACCAATGATAGCCTTTGCTGGAGAGGTTGTGGAGAAAGGGGTACACTCATCCATTGCTGGTGGGAATGCAAACTTGTGCAACCACTTTGGAAAGCAGTGTGGCTGTTTCTCAGGAAATTAGGGATCAACTTACCCCTGGACCCAGCAATACCACTCTTGGGAATATACCCAAGAGAGGCCCTATCATACAACAAAAGTATATGCTCAACTATGTTCATAGCAGCATTGTTTGTAATAGCCAGAACCTGGAAACAACCGAGATGCCCTTCAATGGAAGAATGGATGAAGAAAGTATGGAATATATACATATTAGAGTATTACTCAGCAGTAAAAAACAAGGACTTCTTGAATTTTGCGTACAAATGGATGGAAATAGAAAACACTATCCTGAGTGAGGTAAGCCAGACCCAAAAAGAGGAACATGGGGTGTACTCACTCATATTTGGTTTCTAGCCATAAATAAAGGACATTGAGCTTATAATTCGCAATCCTAGAGAAGCTAAAGAAGAAGGTGAATCCAAAGACAAACATATAGGCATCCTCCTGAATATTAACCTTCATCAGCGATGAAAGGAGACAGAGACAGAGACCCACATTGGAGCACCAGACTGAAATCTCAAGGTCCAAATCAGGAGCAGAAGGAGAGGGAGCACGAGCAAGGAACTCAGGACTGCGAGGGGTACACCCACACACTGAGACAATGGGGATGTTCTATCAGGAATTCACCAAGGCCAGCTGGCCTGGGTCTGAAAAAGCATGGGATAAAACCGGACTTGCTGAACATAGCAGACAATGAGGACTACTGAGAACTCAAGAACAATGGCAGTGGGTTTTTGATCCTACTGCATGTACTGGCTTTGGGGGAGCCTAGGCAGTTTGGATGCTCACCTTACTAAACCTGGATGGAGGTGGGCGGTCCTTGGACTTCCCACAGGTCAGGGAACCCTGATTGCTCTTCAAGCTGATGAGGGAGAGGGACTTGATCGGGGGAGGGGGAGGGAAATGGGAGGCGGTGGCGGCGAGGAGGCAGAAATCCTTAATAAAT